ACCGTGTTTCTCTACGCAAAACGAATTAAATCCCTAAATTTTCCAGGCCAACTCTTTCCTCAACCTAAACTCACCCAGAATCACCCGGTACATTTTCCAAACCTTCCGTCAAATTATACCTAATTAATGTGACGTATACAGAGTGTGTCACGACGATGGTCCATTAGAAGTATCTGGAAAAGTAGTGGTAATTAAAATTTGAAAATTTGTCTACAAATGTTAGTCGATGCGCTCTATTCAATGAAAATATGTTCAAATTTCCCTCACTTTCCCTTACTTCCCTTACTTCCCTTACTTCCGGTTATACCGTAAGTATACAGCAACTTTGTTATTCTAAATGGGACACCCTATACATTAATATATGTATTTTCGAAATCTACGCAAAATTTTAGAGTGCTTTTGTCTAAAAAACATTTTTCAAAAATGCATATTTTTTGAGTTACTAGTTCTTTTTTTGAAAAATTTGACTGATGCAGACCCTTATAAATTAATTTTTACGGGGATCCCTTTAAAAAGATATTGAAACGGTTTTTGTAGGGTGGCTAATAGAAAGGACAAAGGCATTTGAACTTGTGTTAAAAAAACTCCTAATTGCATACAGGGTGTGTACAAAATATGTGAAAAACTAAACTTCAAAAATACCAAATTTCTTATTTTTTTTTTAATGAAACCATCCATTTTTTTCTATTTTATTGAAATCAGCGGTAAAAAATAAGCGAAGTTAATGTTTACTTCCCTATACCTAATAGTTTTGAAAGTATTAAAAATTTTACTTAATACTTACTTTTCTGCCTTATTTTTAAATAATCTGTTTTTCAAGTTGGCCATGTAATATCTCACAAGTACCAAAATAATTAATCAATTATTCACAAACAATTTACATCATGGATCGTAGGAATCTTGCAAAAGTGGGCGGAGTTGCAGCCATTTATAACGTATATTGTTAATACGCAACGTAAAATAGGGCAACTTTCAATATTCTTTCTCTCGAAAACTAAAGCTTTCCCCCGGAAAATTCCAACGGTATTAGTTCTATAGACACGGGGTCTCCCTTCCCTAAATATTTCAGCACGATCCGTGAGGAGTACCTGTATTACAATTACTAGAGAAAAATTTATTAAGAGCACACCAATAAATATGCGCACCGACCAAATTAAAGCTATAGGCGTGATTACATCCCCAAAGTCTGACCGGCGTCGACCACGTTGGACTAGGCTCGAAAAACCTACTCCTACTACCTTCAAAATGCGTTCTAAAATTGCCAAAATTGCCGACTAAGCCCCGCCCGGCTGCTACGATGTGCGCGAAATATTTATTGGTGCGCTCTTCCGAAATAAATTTTACTTCTACCAATCATTATAATTTCTTTTGAGACATTCAGGCGATTTCCATATTGCCTAAAACATTTAGAAAACACTGAACCAAGCTTTTCATGGTTTCATTTCACTAGAGCATGGTGAAACGTAAATTGTACTTAGGAATTTCAAAATCTGGTTTAGGTATTACCTAACTCTAGGAACTGGTTGGTGAAATCGGGCATTAACATACGAGAATAAGTATATTTTTTTTTCATATTTTAAATTCGTAACAAATAATTAACGAATGGAATTCATTATTCTGTAGCTTCAGCTTCGATATCAGTCGTTTCTTGGTCCGTCTGTACCTGAGGGTTTGCTTTTGGAACATCTGCAGAATATAAATAAAATTAAACACCAAAAGAAGTAAAAGTAAAAAAGTATGAAAATAATACAGTAAAATTAGCCATAAATTTCCGCCAAATAATATAAAATACAAAATGAGATAACCTTCAAAAATAAAACCATCGACAAGTTAATTGTTACTTGTTACAACTAATTTGACTGGACTTAAGATGACAATATGAAGAACATCACCAATGAATCTTACCTAATTTTTCACCAGGTTGATCTACGCGAATTTCCACGATATGTTCTTCATAATCCACGTGCTTACGGCACGGATCATGCTTGTAATAGTCTCCATCAACTGCTACCGATGCTATTTGGTGCATCCGGCATTTGGTTTTTTGGTAACCGCGCTCGAAGGATTTCACTGCTTTATCGCCTTTATAGTACACTTTTTCGATTAAATGGTTGGCTTTGTTCTTGAGTTTGCTCAATAAAGACGAGTCGGATTGGCTTATGTCGCTGTTCGGGTTGTCCAATACGCGACAATGGGATTGGATTGCCCACACTGCGATCAAGAAACTGCAAAGGAGTATTTGCTTCATTTTGCGCTACTTCAAGACTTACTTGGTTGTGGCTTTTGATCAACTATTTATATTAAAAAATTGTGTGTTGCTTAATTTATTATCGATAAGTTCGTTGGAGGTCCGACGAGTTCAACGTCAACAAACACAGTTTTGGGTGTTTTAATGTACTACCTAAATAAGATGGGTATTTCCAGTTATTTTCGGTAATTAATATTTCATAATTCAAATATTCGGTGCTTATATCTAAACATTGGACAATTAGATTAAAAGACAATTCATATGCAAGCTACAAGGGATGTTTCCAAACTCCTGGGAATTGTGCTCTAATTAACTTGGGCACAACTTATTAGTATCATACAAGTCTTGACATGTTTTATGCATCTATTCAGTGTAACTAAATAGCTGTGTACCACCGCTCTCTTTTTGTAACCATGGAAGAATCCATTAAACAGTACTTTTGGATTCTGTAGACTCACCAAATACTCTTTGCAAACTCTGAATAATTTCTGATGTCTTCACACCTTTTTTCCACAAAATGAAAATGATTACCTACCCATGTTACCCATATTACTCATGTTACAAAGGTTACCCATACAAGTTCTACGTATTTTAATTAGAGCACAATTCCTAGAACTTTGGAAACATCCCTCGTATATTCACTGTAAATTAGATCCTAGTTTGTCCTCGGATTATATTTTCGCAGTCTTTCGGCGATTTATTTCTAGACGGCGGAAATCATATCGAATGTACTCGAATACCAGCACAAATTTTGTGGGTATAACGAACTTCGAGCTCTTGGCACATTTCTTCAAATTAACGAGGATAATTTAGTTGAGACCTTTGAAAATGAAGGAATTTCGTGGTCTTTCATACCATCGTGTGCACCACACTTCCTATGGGAGGCCGGGGTGAAATAAATGAAACATCATTTAACCAGGGCTGGTAGCAATGCTTTGCTTACATTTGAACAATTTTATACGCTGCTTGTGCAAGTTGAAGCAATATTGTAGGACCTTTCTTCCGATTCTTCCGACTTGCTTCCTATTACGCCTTCCCACTTTTTAATTGACTGACCAATGACATCCATCGCCGATCCAAATTTGATGGAACTGAATGAAAATTGCTTGACACACTACGAGCGGATCCAACCACTACAGCATATTTGATCCCGATGAAGAACGAATAAATTGGTGTAACAATCACCACAATTTGAAACTTGATCGAATCGCTTTATCCCAGGAAGGATGAAGTTGCGAGAATGGCAACGATAGGTACAAGGGCCGGTGTTGTATGCAGACCTCTCGCCAATATTTGTCCTCTTCCAAGCACCGAGTCAGAGTCCTTGGAAGTCAAATTTTGCCTTTCAACTTTGCTACTTGTCCCCACGGCAAAAACCAACCAGGCAAAACGACAGATCGAGTCAGAACCTCGAACCCCGAACCTCGAGTCAGATTCGATTTTCCTCTTTGATTTTAGACACACGTTGCTTTTCGTTTTCTGTTCTTAACTAACGAGTTTAAGTTATAATAAATCGCTTTTTTTAATAAAAATATGGTTCTTAGTTTACTGAAACATTCGATAAGTTAGCAAATTATTCACTAAATGGATTTCATGTGCAACTTTGGATTGATGAGCTTGAGCTTGGGCGGTAATAATATTAAGCACTACGAAAAAATGTGTTAAATTTAATAACTTCATATTGTCTAAAATTTTTGTTCTTACAAAAATTGAAAAAATGTTTGAATAATTATCTCGTTCTATTATTGGATTTTTCAGACAAATATTGACAAAATTTTGTTAATGTTGAAATATTACAAATTATCGTACTACAGAAATTTTACTAGTTGTAAATATTGGAAATTCCAGGATTTGGGGAATTCCATGATTTGGATCCTGTTGTTCGTTATACATTTCTCCAATATTATTTTTTGTTATGAATACAGGGTATTCAAAAAAAGTGTCAGAAAAAGCCAAATGCCCAATATCATGAGATGTATCGACATTTAAAATAAACGCTAAGACACGCAATTTTAGTTCTTTTAAAATGATCACCCTTTCCATTGCTCAACAGCCCAACCGGCGCATTTGCGAACACATGTTTATTAAGACATTTTTTATTATTTTGTGCCATTCTACTCCCCATTTTATTTTGTGACACTTTTTTGAATACCCTGTGTAGGGTAGTAAGTATATAGTGTATATACGAGGGATGTTTCCAAGTTCTAGGAATTGTGCTCTAATTAAATTAGATAGAACTTGTATGGGTAACATGGGTAGGTAATCATTTTCATTCTGTGGAAAAAAGGTGTGAAGTCATCAGAAATAATTCAGAGTTTGCAAAGAGTATTTGGTGAGTCTACAGAATCCAAAAGTACTGTTTAATGGTGGATCGGATACTGCTCTTTGAGATTTTGCTGCTTCTTCCATGGTTACAAAAAGAGAGCGGTGGTACACAGCTATTTAGTTACACTGAATACATGCATAAAACATGTCGAGACTTGTATGATACTAATAAGTTGTGCCCAAGTTAATTAGAGCACAATTCCCAGGAGTTTGGAAACATTCTTTGTAGCTTGCATATGAATTGTCTTTTAATCTAATTGTCCAATGCTTAGATATATTCACCGAATATTTGGATTGTGAAAAATTAATTACCGCAGATAACTGGAAATACCCATCTTATTTAGGTACCTCATTTATACACCCAAAACTGTATTTGTTGACGTTGAACTCGTCGGACCTCCAACGAACTTATCGATGATAAATTAAGCAAAACACAATTTATTGAATATAAATAGTTGAACAAAAGCCACAACCAAGTAAGTCTTGAAGTAGAGCAAAATGAAGCAAATACTACTTTGCAGTTTCTTGATCGCAGTGTGGGCAATCCAATCCCATTGTCGCGTATTGGACAACCCGAACAGCGACATAAGCCAATCCGACTCGTCTTTATTGAGCAAACTCAAGAACAAATCCAACCATTTAATCGAAAAAGTGTACTATAAAGGCGATAGAGCAGTGAAATCCATCGAGCGCGGTTACCAAAAAACCAAATGCCGGTTGCACCAAACAGCATCGGTAGCAATTGATGGGGACTCTTACAACCATGAACCCTGCCGTAATGGGCAGTAGGCAACATGGAAAAAATTAGGTAAGATTCATTGGTGACGTTCTTCATATTGTCATCTTAAGTCCAGTCAAATTAGTTGTAACAAGTAACAATTAACTTGTCGATGGTTTTATTTTTGAAGGTTATCTCATTTTGTATTTTATATTATTTGGAGGAAATTTATGGCTAATTTTACTGTAGTATTTTCATACTTTTTTACTTTTACTTATTTAATTGGGGTTTAATTTTATTTATGTTCTGCAGATGTTCCAAAAGCAAACCCTCAGGTACAGACGGACCAAGGACTGACTGATACCGAAGATGAAGCTACAGAATAATTAATCCCATTCGTTAATATATAATAAATAATTCGTTAAAAAATATATAGGTACCTATGTTACATAATAATAAAGTTAATTTTTTGACAACTTATTCTCGTATGTTAATGCCCGATTTAACCAACCAGTTCCTAAAGAAAATTATGATTCAGTATTTAGGTCGCAACGTTGCCGTATTTACGTAGATGTTTACAATCTTAATATTTCTTTGAGTGAATATTGATTTTTTTACCTTATTTTTACCTTACATATGAGTACTTAAAATTTTAATGAATAATTTTAATAAAAACATATTGTTTTTAGTCGGCTAAGAATTTAACGTTGATTTTCCCTATTATGAGCAAATTTATTTCCAATACTGTAAAATATAAAATTGTAATTATAGGATACATCAAATTTCATTTTTTTTGGAATTTTTTCAAATAACTGTTACAAACAAATAAAACCGACAACGACGCATCCTGCGATAATACAGGATGTGTGTTTGGGCGAATGCATAAATGTAATGATTTACCACAAAAAATATAAACAATTTGGTCTCTTAGTTATAATGTCTTTGATTACCGCATATAATTGGAAATACCCATCTTATTTAGGCACTACATTTATACACTCAAAACTGCATTTGTTGGCGTTGAACTCGTCGGACGTCCAACGACCTTTTCGATAATAATCAAGCAAAACACAATTTTTGAATATAAATAGTTGATCAAAAGCCACAACCAAGTAAGTCTTGAAGTCGCGCAAAAATGAAGCAAATACTCCTTTGCAGTTTCTTGGTCGCAGTGTGGGCAATCCAAGCCCATTGTCGCCCATGGGAGCCGGCTTTTTGGACCACAATCAAGAACACAGCCGGAGAAATCATAGATGACGTGAAAAATCGCGCCGAGGAAGCCGTGGAAACTATCAAGCACGGTTATAACGAGATCAAATACCGGGTGCAGGGAATAGCATCGGTAGCAGTTAAAGGGTACTATGACGAGCATGATCCGTGCTTTGTGCAACAAAATCATGCTGGTGAAAACCACGGGGGTCACCAGATTGGGCAGCAAATAGTGAAAAATTTAGGTAAGTTTCAGGTCAAGGTGCATGTCAGAGTCGAAGCTACAAAATAATGAATCCCATTCGAAAATTAATTGTTATGAATTTAAATTATGAAGACAAAAAATATTTTTGTACATAATAATAAAGTTAATTTTTAGACAACTTATTCTTGTATGTTAATGCCCGATTTCATTCTTCGATTTGCCCGATGCGATTACGCCCTTGCATATTATGCTAGGTTTCACCAAGCAGTTCCTAAAGTTAGGTAATACCAGAGAATAGCGAGCACAGAGAAGCTATATTGTTTAGTACTTCAGGCCATTAAATAAAATTACCCGGGTACCTATCGCATTTCATGTAAAATCAACTTAAATGTAAAACATCACACCCTTATATTTTAATGGTTTTCACAGGTAAATATGATTAGAGGATAATCTTTTTTACTGCATTAAATTTCCACGATGAATCCGGCGATTTTTCCGCCAAGAGGGCGCTAAAGTCACAATTTGGCACAGAAACATTTGGTGTTGCTGAATTCTGCCATAAAATTATCTTTTCAAAAATGTACCACACTTGGTATTTTCCTAGTTTTCATTTTAGGGATTATTAATCCCACTCCAAGTTTGAAGTGTCAATGTTGCAATTAGGAAAAAAGTGTCCCCCTAAGAACTAAAATTGCGTGTCTGAGCGTTTATATTAAATGTCGATACATTTCATGATATTGACCATTTGGCATTTTCTGACACTTTTTTTGAACACCCTGTATTCATAACAAAAAAGAATATGGGAGAAATGTATAACAAACAACGAGATCCAAATCATGGAATTCCCCAAATTCTGGAATTTCCAATATTTACAATCTAACGAAAAATTTCTGTAGAAATTTTTAATATTTCAACAAAATTTTGTCAATATTAGTCTGATAAATCCAGTTAGTGTTATTTTTCATTGACCCCAAACGAATTAGATACCCAATGATTCATACATGTTTCCAAATTTTGTGCGAACAAAAATTTCAGACAATATGAAGATAATAATTTTAACATGTTTTTTTTCGTAGTGCTTAATATTATTACCGCCCAAGCTCAAGCTCATCAATCCAAAGTTGTACATGAAATCCACCGATATAGTAATAATGAGAAAACATTGAGCAGTATTACTAATAAACTTGAAAACTTTAGTGCAGGTAAGGAGTTGTAAAACATTCACAAGACTATTATTTATAACACAATATTTTGCAGAGAATCCGGCAAAGTTAAAATCTATAATAAACCCAAGATCCAATAGTCCAGAAGGATATGTACCAGATAGAAGAGGAGTGTGCAGAGAAATATAATAAATTTCCTATAAAAATAAAATTATTTAATAAACCGTGGTTCTCTACGCAAAACGAATTAAATCCCTAAATTTTCCCGGCCAACTCTTTCCTCAACCTAAACTCACCCAGAATCACCCGGTACATTTTCCAAACCTTCCGTCAAATTATATCTAATTAATGTGACGTATATGCCTACATGTTTACAAAATCATTTGTTTGTGCCCTTAAGTGTGAGTTTCTTCGTATTTACCCCGGCGTAAATTTTCTTGTGGGATCTGTCCTCCGTAATATGTAAAATAAAACGAAGTTAAAGACAAAAATGACATCGATACCACCATCTAACGACGGAGAAATGAATGGTAAGTGACTGGAAAACGCCCAAATAATGTCTCAAAAGAGATTATAATTATTGCTACTTAAATAGTAATTGTTGTATTTAAATATTTTTTCGATTTTTTATTTTATAATTTTTCTGGGGGGCTTGTGTTTTTGACACATGAAACTTACGTCATTTTAAATATTTTTGACGGTACATAATTTTCCTACAATTTTGGATGCAATCAAATTAGCAAAAAAAATATTTAATCATCATTTTTGTACTTGAATAAACGTTCCAAATTAAACAATAAGAAAACGTCTGTGAGGAAAGAAATTTAGAAATTGCTAAATTCGCTTTTCAGATACTCCCGCCTACGCTGAAGACAGAAAAGGTAATCGAATTCATTCCATTGCAATATTTTATTAATCGCTTTCATAAATTCTCCGTGTTGTTACAGAAATAGGGATGGAAGAATTACACGAAGGAGGCGAAGAAATTTCAAGTCTCCCTCAAGATGAAACGGTAAGAAATCTTCCAGAATAGACCCAAAATCGAACCACCCTCTTAAAATTTAACTACTAACCGGTTTCGTTATTAATTCCAGAACAAATCTCCTGCCGAAACGCCCAGGCAGGAATCGTTGGACTGCAAAGGAGACACAGAAGCAGCCGCTCCCGAACCCAAGTCGGCTCGCACACCTCTAACCGCCACCACCAAAAGACTAGCCGCCCCCAAATCTCCCAGACTGAGGTCCGCCATTGGCAAAAGCGGCAATTCCAGCAGCATACCGTTACCGGTATCCAAGTCTATCAAAACACCTTCTCCGTCAAAGGTATATAGAACTATGTGGTCTCTTTATATTCTCTTACAAATGGTGTAGATCCTTGAGTACTCATCTGGAATTAGGTCTTGAAAACAGCGAATGTAACAGTTGGGAAATATCTCTTTAATCGCCTTTCTCTAGGGTCGTATAAGGAGTGTAGTATAAAGCGTTTGATTGTGTTTAGGTGACACCTGGAAGCACCCCGTTGAGAACGGGCCTGGCGAAATCCACGAAATCGATCCCGGGCTCGGGAAAATGCGCCGGCAAGGACGGCTTGAACAAGCAAGCGCTGGAGGTGCAATTCAAGGCCAAGAAGAAGAAGCTCGCCCAAATGCAGAAGGAGCTGTTGGAGAAGCAGAAACCGGTCGTCGAGCTGTACCAAACTCTGAACGATATCAAGAAGAAACTGGAGGATCTGGGCAAGGACGTGACGATGGACGGGGTCAAGTTTTCCCCGTTTTTGATTGGCGAAACGGCCCGTCCGAAGACGCCGACGGGCGCCGGCGAATCGGTGCCTTCGACCGTCGTCGTCGAGCTCCAATCGTCGATCGAGGAGATACCGAAGACGCTGACGGAGATCTGCAGGAACCTGCTGAACCGGCGCAACGTGATCGTCGAGCTGCTGGAGAACGTGTGCAAATCGGCCGTGAACGGCAACGATCTGGCCGATCAGATCGAGACGTTGAAGACGGAGGGCGTGAATCTGCGCAGCCACTTGGACGTGGTGATCAACGAGCACCACAACAAGATCAAGGAGATCATCCAGCATTGGAACGCGTTGCTGTCGCAAAGGATGTCGGCGAACGGATTGGAGGAGGACGAGGACGGCGATGCGATGAGCAAGGCGCTGTACGAGGAATCGAAAGGGGTATAGAATGTTGCCGGTGTCGAGTCAATGAATTTGGTATTTATGTCGCTTGATTATTTTAGATAATCTTAGATTTACAGAGAAAATTGGATGAAAAGAAGAACGGACACGAGCAGTGCGTTAACGAATTAAATAACGTTATTAGCGGATTGAAGGAGCAAATACAGGTAGTTTCATTAGTAGATAGTCCTTAGTGTAGATAGGTAAGTGCAAATTTGTTTGCAATATGGCCAATTCTTGGTTTGTTCCAGCAGCTTATTCAAATTATATTTGTATCAGTATTGTATTGCGCATGCCCTGATGTATACAAGTTCGTTATAAGATTGGAACATTTCATGCTGGAACACCTCGAGCAGTTGTTGGGTTTCCTGTAAAACGGAAATGTTCTTTGAATTTATTTTCCAAATATTGAAGAACGGTTTTCTCGATATAATTTTTAATTTATGGCCTCTGCGTTTCTTTCAACAATTCTTTAAAATCGTTTTCCGATTATTCATCCCAACTAATCATGACTACTTTCGCCCATAGCTCCAAATAAGTCAGTAATTTCCATATTAATTTAAAACTAAATTGTAACTAAACAAATATTTATGACCAACAACAAACTAATATAACCATACTTATTTTCGAATTGTTCTAAATGTTCTCACTTCAAACGAGAACAGTTTGGCAGTTCTCAAACATGATCTAAACAAAAAACGAATTCTACCGGAACAGCAAACATTTACTCAGAACACCAAATTACACGCACAAAACAAGCTGCTGGAACAAACCTCCTATATAATTTGAACAAAGATTGATTATTGGTTTGGTGGATTTGTAGTTATTAGAGTGAGGAAGTGGCTATCCCACAATATCGCTCTTTTCCCTCAAATTTTGCTCTTGCCTGTATATCCAGCAAAATTTCAGTAGATCTAGTAACGTTGATTAGAATCGCAATTAACAACCAATGTTGTCAGAAATTCGAGCACGATTTGGAAATCGAAAGAAAGAACGCGCTAGATTTCAAGCACAGAAACACCTCCAACTCGCAGATGATAAAATCTTTGAGGAACAAATTTAGCGAATTGGAGAATGAAAAAAAGGCCACCGACGCCACGAATACGGAGCTACTCAAAAAAATTAAGTAAGTACATCCAATTAATTAATACAGTCCAAACAGTGTGTTTCATATGAAGCAAAATTTGTATAAAAATACAATCGATATCCGATGGAAGTTCTTTCACGTTTGTCGCTTTTGCAGACACCTCGAAGACAAGATGAAGCACCAGGAGAGCCAATGGACCAAGGACAAGGAGGAGCTGACGAAGAACATCAAGCACCAGGAGAGCGCTATGCAGAAGCTGGTCAGCGAGAAGAGCAACTTCGAGGCCAGGTGCTTGATTCACATTACGCTACGCGCCTTCTCCGAACTGCTCATTCCGCATCCGTTTTGATTTTTTCTCTTAGTGATTTTGTACATGTATGCGTGACTGTTGTTTGTTACTGTTCAATACCCTTCGGCATGGAGAAGCGAAACACCAAAAGTATAGCGTACTTTTTCACCATATTTAACAGTTTTTTATATATATTTCTATAAACGCTTTTTACACTGAAAATTGTACCTGTATTTACCACCAATAATTAATTGCCAATTAATAACTCAGCTTAAATTAGGTAAGATTTGAGAGGTTATAAATTGTTACAACAACAATGGTAAAGACTCTACAGTACTATCAATTAATGTATAACGGAGACGTCCAAACACATTTTTTATATTCCACCAGCACCAAGTAGAATGCATTCTTACCAAATTAACTTTCTACCACTATCTTCTTTCTTCTATCGACCCTATGCAGGGTACTAAAACCTTTATAGGAGCATATCGAATCGCATCAGATCCAAACATCTACTGGCATTGGCACCCCGAGGTGAGATCAGTCCAATTGGTCGATGTTTGGACGATGAATTGATGTGATATATTTATCTCTTTTAGATTGGGCGACTGCAAGAACCAAAGCGTGACTGTGAAGGACTCGCTGCGCTCGGAGATCAAGCGGCTGCAAGTGGAGATGGAGGATTTGCGCGGCCAATTGGACGCGGTGACGGTCGAGAGGGACGAAGTCCGGCAACGGTGCAAGGAGATGTCCGATCACATCAGTGAATTGGGGCGCGAGAACAAGCAGACCATGGATATCGTCAGCAATAGCATTCAATGGGGCAGAGGTATCCATTCAATATCTTTAATAATTCAGCGATTGAAATGTTGATTTATTTACCAGGTGGTCCGGAAGCTTCGTTGAAAGCCGACGAATACACCAAAGACTTGATGAAAGACATCATCATACAAGAATGCACCGATAAAATCAAGCAATTGGAAGAGGAGAACGCCGAACAAAAGGAAATATTAACTATTTTGGTAAACAATAGTAATAGTAAATCCATCGTTCTAAAACTCCCACATTTTCTTGCAGCAACGCAAAGAACTCAGCAAAGAAACCGAACGGGAGAAGAAAATGATCGTTAACCAAGACGTGGTGGCCAAATACAAGCAACTGCTGGCTGAGAGCGAGCGGAAAATATGCGAAAAGTTAGCACCGATCATCATTTTTTTTATATAAATTTAAATTAAATCTGCAACATTGCAAATAGATCCCAGGAAGTGGCGAAACTGACATCCGAAATGAGGCAGCTGAAGGTACGCCAGGAGCACCTGGAGGAGCTGAACCAAAAGTGCCCCACGGAGAACCTGCAGAAGATGGTGGAAGAGGGCAGGAGCAAACTCACCGAGCTGATGAAGAAATCGCTGGACAGCGAACAGAAGATTTTGCACTGCGAAAGCATCATCGACAAGCAGAGCAAGCAGGTGAACGAAATGGAGAACCTGCTGAGGTACAGGGAGAATATGGCTGGAGTTTTGAAGACCGACAGAGATCAGCTGGTTATCGAAAAGGAGAGCTTGAATAGATATTCGCACGAACTGAGGACTGTTCTTGCCGAGGTAACACCAACTAATTATCTTTGCGTTGTTGTAAATCATTTTTTTAGGTGACGAAAGAGAGCAGAATGAAGGATCGTTTGGTCAAAGAGCTACGAGATAAAATTGACCTGCGCGAGCGGCAAATCAGCAAAATGGATAAGGAAATCCGCGACCTGGAGAACAACTTGGTCCTGACCAACGAGAAACGTTTCAAGCTGCAGGAAACCATCGGCACCATGGAGAAGGAGCTCCAATACACCAAGGCGCACGTTAACCAATTGGCCGATATAAACACACGGTATGACATCGGTATGAATCCTTCCACTAGCCGTACTAATATTAGCACTAGTAGTAACAAATTTAGAAACGTGAGTTCCACATCTCGCGACGATATAGAATCGGGTCGATTGAACTGCAAAGATCTCATCGGATTGTCGCTGAGGCAAATCGAGTATCTCCGGTTGAAGATCAACCATCTATCGCGGATCGAAGCGCCGTCTTCGAGGGGGTCCTCGGTGCGCTTGGCGAGGTCCTCGCACGCCCAGCTGGGCCGGGTCTCCTCGAAGACTGCTCTGGTGTTGTATTCTAACCAGTACAATAGCGGGGATTTGGCCAGAATGACTGAGCTGACGGCCAAGAGGTACGAGCAATTGCAGCGGCAGGCTTACGAGACCTACGAAGAGCTCACTAATCTCCTCAAGATGGCGGTGGCTGTACAATAGTTTTGGATTTGTATGGTGATTTAATGCTGTTGAGGTTGAAACAGAGGATTTGATGTCTGTAGCTTCGGTTTTTATGTACATAATTTGTGGTTGCTGTGGTTGTGAATGGTTGAATGGGTTAATCCAACGATGCCGCTTCTGGTGAAATTTTATTAGATCTAGTGATTTTTTGACTAGGCCGTTAAATCATGAGTTGTTGCAAATGATTCGATTTTTGGTGAATGGAGGATCTAGTTATTGGAAAAGTTGGATTAATCGATGAACAACTCCTTTATTATTCACATTTTTTGTATTACTAGAGAAAGTTTTACCAGCGTTTTATTAGCAAATAAAGACTTAGCTGTATGCCTAGTTTTTCATTATAAAATCTTCATCTGATGATGGCCCAGGTGATTTTCCCGGGTGGCATTATAATTTTGTATTAAATTTTGTGTTTTTTTTTGTTTTAGTGGAAGACTCAAATTCGCTAAACCGTTCTAATATGAGCTTATATCATCCATTGGTCCAGACTGGTTCATCGCAGATGAAAATAAAAATAACTCTAGGGTAAATGATATCGCTTTTTGTGCCGTCTAATAGTGAACGTGTATCTATTTTTCTTTTAAAAAGTAAAAAAAAAGATTTTTATTTCTATTGGAGTTTTATTTTTGACACTTTCTAATTTAACAATTAACGACTGAGGTTTGATGAAAGAATCAACAATGAAGAATAAAAAGCTTGTTAAAGCATAGGGAAAATGTATAACAAATTCATAAGAAAGTATAAAGATGCAACATGCAACTGAAGAAAAAATAACTAAATATAATTTCTGGTTGTCTAAGTAGTAGGCAAGTAACGGAATATTTGCGTACAGTTTTTATTGCAATCTTAAATTGTAATTTGAGATTTTATGAACAATCTAGGATCCATTTTAATTATTTCTAGTGAAATTTAGAGCAAAAACTGTAGAATTCTTCGCTTCTAAACAGCCTCTTGCGTTATTTTTAGGAAGAGATGTCGCTAGTTTGGCCGATCTTCCCTGCAGATCTTCGTAATCATGCATTAAATGATAAAATAAAGAGGGAAATTTTGGAGGGAAAACTTGGAGGGAAACATTATCAGGATAGATACCGAGATTTTTGTTCTAAAAATAAACTATTCGAGTGCGATTACGCACGCATTTTAATTAAAATTCGTATGACTTGGATTCATATTTATAGGAGAAGTATAGGAGAAATACATACAAAAATATAAAAAAAATGTTCCAAAGAATTATAAAGAGAAACTGTTAGATGTATTACATTTTCTTTTTCGCAATACGAATTTTAAAATTCTTTTTCTTCAACTCTTGTATCCCAATTTTCCAATCTATTAATTTCCCCAACTTTTTTTCCTAAATATTTTACCGCAAACAACCCTAAATATAATCCCTAACTTTCTAATCCCTTTAGAAAATTACCGAGTAAAGCCGCCTGAGTGATAAATTGCAGTGATTGAATTGTTACTAATTTGAAGTAACAATTCCCTTTTTCTACTATCTAATCTTTAACATCGATCATCTAATTTTGAAACCCTACCTAAATCAGGTAAATAGAACTGAAAATCTCTTCGAAACGCCCAGTAACTTATACTTTAATATGGCTTTCGCCAGTACAATGAATTCTGAAGCGATTTCGGAACCATTCTAGACCTGCTCTGGAACCACTCTTGATAGTTCTTCAACTGTAATTAATACACTAGAAGGACAATTTAGTAGATATCGGGGAATCGTCGATTGATGTCAAGGATGTGGAAAGAAAATAATCTTTGCAGCAGTTATAAAATTTTTTATTGATCGTTCTGCGAACCAATGGGAGCCGCAGCGGCCGCGTTTAGCACATTAATTACAACGAAATAATAGCGAGAACGTACTGACTGAGGGCCACACATTGTTAACATTGAATTTTAGCCTATCGGTAAATCTGGTCGGCGCGGAATGGAAACCGCTCCGTGCGATTCTGGTCCTCGAGACTCCGAAGGAGGAGGACAATATGCGGCCGGAGTGGAGGTTTTTATCTTCATTTAATCAGATATGCGATCGTTTGTCGTAAATTTCATTGAGTAACTCGAGACCTTAAACTAATATCGGACTACATTCGTCCGGCTCTTATGCGGGTCCGGTTTCAGGAAAGGGTCCGCTCGAGGAGGTCTTCTCGAAATCCACCGATTCGTTTTTCTCTTGCAAAAATTTAAATTGTACAAAATTTTTGGATAATTGTGATAATTTATAATAGACATACAATCATAATTATTGATTGGTGGAATTAACGAAACAGGTATCATAAATTGGACCACCAGGTCTATATTATAAATTGCAAGGAAAAAACACCTAATTAACAAAATGTATAGAGTTTAGGTTCATTGTCATTTATATTGATTCCTGAAATTTAATCAGATTTACAAATAGTGATGCACTATAAGGAAGTCTAACTTAAACAATATTCTTTAACAGCTATCTGGGTTGGAGTTCCATGGTTCAGATTTTCTACACTTTATTTTTCTGTCGATAGAATTTAAAGCCTATGGAATCTCTCAATTGAGAGGAGACGATGAGCAACACCCTGTGCATTGGTATTTACGAAAAGATTAGCATTCCCTAACTTTCTACACCAGTTGCTTTTCGAAGTAACTTTATCGCTGTAAAGCACCACCCGTTTCGACTCCAACACGTGTAATCCCAACGTAAACTACCAATAAAACAGTAAAAATGAAACACCAGAAATGGCATATATCCAGCTCGTCGGGATTTTGTTTGGGTTTGAGGTCTCGTCGACCGACAAACTTTGTGGGCCGCATCATTCGTTGGCTCATTTTCCGGTGGCGCTCGACACTTAAATTAGACACTATTTATATACAAATTCGTCCCGTTCGCCTTTGATGGCCGGGAGCAACGTAAACACGTATCGCGTCGCTCGGCGGCAGATTGCGCCGAAAAGCGCCAGAAATTCCCTGCACCGATGGGAACCTCTTCGAAGGACTTCTTCGGCTGGTAATTAAACTGTCGATAATGAGCCGGGCGACAGATTTATTTTGGTAAAAAGGTGGTTGGTAAAAAGCCGGTTTACACTGAAACGCTGGCTATGCAAATCGCGGGGATGGCATCTAAACCGAAAAAAATATCACATTTAATTTATATGCTAAAATAGATTGAATAACCCCGTTAGTAAAGGCGCGATTTTACAATTAAAAAATTACGATAGAATTGTGCATTATACATCGACACTTTTCGATCGAATTCTGTAGAATTCCTCATCGGGGGAGGAAGGGCCGGGACATTTTTCTGAGTGTAGACGATGGAATTCCGGATTGTTTATTTATTTTCCTTTCTTAGTATCTTCGTTTGGCGCTTTCGGCGTCTTATCTAGCCGTCGACCTATTCTGATACTGGCGGCTAATCGTGTTCCCAGAGACCGCTGAAGGCGACTTCCAAGAATCAGGGTTGAGCTTTGCCTTCCCTCAACGCACACGGCCACCGACATAAATTTCGTCTAATATTAAGATGATCGACCGCCCTGCGAGATTTTTTTTTCGACTTTGGAAGCAGAGAAATTGTATTTTTCAACAGGCCCCAAATTATCCGCAAAAATTCTATTCTATAGTATGTTCAGATTAAGCAAGAGGTGACGTCAGCAGAGTAATAGTTCAACAAACTATATGAACATTATTATAAGGTAATTCCAAAAAGGTAACAAATTATAGAGTTAAAGTTAGTGAGAAAATTGATGCTAGATTTTCGTTTCATAGTCATTTCATCTGATTTTACCTGTTTTCCTGTCGTTTCTTCTCCTAAATCTGTTCGGAACTTCCTTGAATACCTCTCTGTACATTATTTACATTTCAAATAACTATACCTGTGACATGGAATCCCATTTGTATCTAACCGTGCGGAGCTGTTAAAAGGCAAGAGGCCGTCACAATAAACGTTTAATTATTAATAGGCAAAGAACTAAGATCAAAACTCATCAAAATACGGCTAGCCATCAAAATTGAAAAGCTGCAATTCCCCTATATGCCCGGCCTGCGCGATTTGTATTCGAACTGGTACTAGATCAATGAATTAGTCATTACAGTCATGAACAATTAGTCATACAGTCAAGCAGAAAAACTGTAACTTTAGTGCCTTCTTGTACTTACATTAGGTGAAAAAAAGGCTTCTTCCAGAGCTTTAAGTAAATATTAATAATCTCGAACGAGCATATTTCATAATATTGGATGAATAACTCGAGTACTAATACTCTTAAAACACTCGAGAATCTATCCAGCCCTGCTACCTATTGGAAATCTCTATTAATAATACGCTTTAACGACAAGTCACACTTAGATTTTCGTATCGCTGGCCTGCGATAACCTCTTTATTCCTAACAAAATAACATTATCCTAATCGCTTTAGTGAAAATTATGTCGATGCGATAAAGCAATCGTTACCTTTACTGATTATTCACATAAGGGTTAAATGGTGTTCGTTAGAGGGAAGCCATTTATTTGAAATTTAATTATCCTTTGACGTTTATTGAACGCGTTTTATCACTATCATATCGTATTAAGAAGAAGGAATTCGATTGACCAAGAAAAAGGGCTTAATTATTTATGTATAGTACCAGCAGGTAGGTAAAATACTATGTTGTGCGTAAATAAAATAGCTCAGATAAAGTTATTGGAAATCGCGAAATCCAGGCACAAATTCGATGGTTTTCGTGTTTGTCGTGCAAACACAAATAGAGTTGAGTACCTTGTGCAAACAATTTGATAGGAAATAACACGTTAAAGCCAATATTGCTCTTCTGTTGAATGGAGAATGTCGTTAGTTAATTCAATGAAAACGAAAGGCGCTCGTTGTCACAAAACGCAATGAATATTCAACGAAATTATAAACAATGTTAAAATAGCTAAGGTAGGACCTTAAATGAGATAGAAAGTGGCTTTTTTAGCGCGATAATTATTAAGCTTTGTATTGATTCTATTGGGTACAAACAAATTCTCTTATATACTTAGGTTCTTGGGATGACTCTTATAAGTCCATTATGAAAATATAAATTGACTCTTCTATAGATATTTAGAGAGTATTTACATAATATTTAGGTACATAGAGACTTTTTTAGTTATACTTAATTGATTTCATGTATAAATGACTCTTTAAAGTCCTTCGTGATGAATAAATTGACTCACTTAAATTCTCAGTGGTCTCTAAAAAGTTTCAGTCAATTACAATTATAGTCGATAAAAGATTTAATATTTAGAGAGTATTTATATAATATTTAGGTGCCTACATAGATACTCTCTTAATTAATCTGACTACGGGATAAATGACTCTTTTAAATCCTTATAATTGAAAATAAAAATCGACTCTATTAAATTCTCATCAACTGTGATCGATAAAATATATTATTTTTGATAATATTTAGGTACATGGATATTCTCTTATATTAGTCTGTTAATTGGCTTTGGGGGTACATAAATGACTCTTTTAAGCTCTTCGTGAAAACGTAAATTGACTCTCTTCAATTCTCAGTGGCCTCTTAAAAAGTCTCAGTC